GGAATCGGGAAAAGTACCAGGCATTTGGTGAACAGACAAGCACCTTTCCATTAAGTGTATGTCTCCCTTTCTTTCTACCAATAAAGTTTGGGATTGAGCTCCCTTGGGTGGGGTGGGGTATGATAGGGTGGGATGGGAAGGAGACAGAGCCAAGGAAATCACAGCCCCTGACCCAGGAGTTAGAAAAATGGTGGAGGTTTGTCCTACACCAGGAAGACCAAGGTAGGTGAGGGACACCCAACCAGTCCCAGGGAAGTTGCCCCCAAACACAGCCCTAAACCCAGGCCAGATCTACACCCCCAGGAGGCACCTCTCTGGTCCCCTTAACTGTGAAAGCCCTGAGGGCCAGGCACAAGGTACCTAAAGACTCCCAGTGGTCAGCCCAGAAGGTAGGACACCTGCCTCCTGGATGCCTAAGATTCACAGGCTTTCGTAGGGCAGAGCCCTCTTGCCTCGTCTCTGAGAGCTCAGGATGGTTGATCCTTTTTCCAGAACTGGAAGCAGATCGGTAGAAGAACAGCTGGGTCACCAACTCAACTCCCGGGATCCATAATGCCTATCGCAACCAGGCAGCCAGACGAATGCCTAATGATGCCAGACCCGAAACCGGCCTTCTCTCTGGGCCTTGGCTTCCTTCTTTGTAAAAACCTGCGGGGGTTGAGATTTCTTGCCCGGTTTGCTGCGAGGTTTAGAAACCCGCCTTGCCAAGCTGCACGCGCCTGAGACACACAGTAGGTTTGCTGCGGGCAGACTTAGTAAAACGTCAGCTATAGCCAGCAAGTCCCCTTTGTAACTCCACAGGCGCGAAGTCCTCGCGTGCGGCTGGCGCCACGGATCGCTGGTATCCGCGGGGACCCCGCCCCGCCCCCCGCGCGCGGCCGGAGCCACCCGGTGGGGTTTCGGCGCGCTGACGTGGGCGGATCAAAGCGGCTGCCCGAGCCTTATAAAGCAGCTCGGGCTGCGGGCGCAGGAGAGCGCGCCGGGCGAGGTGGAGAGCTCCGGCGGGAGGAGAGCGCCGGCGAGCGGGCAGCCCGGCCCGGGGAGCAGCCCGATCCGCGCCAGAGCCCCCGCGGGACCCGAACCGGCCGCAGCTCGCCAGGACCCCGCGCGTCCTCTCCCCCCGCTCGGCGACAGAGACGCCCCCGCCGCCTGCCCAGCTCCGAGGGCGCTCGGGTCCATCGCGGGCGGCGCTCGCAGCTCCCCGGCCGGCTCCGGAGCAAGGCGCGCAGGGCGCGCGGGGTGAGCGCCCCAGAAGGCGAGCAGCGGCCGCCGGCAGCGCGCGAGGGCTCAGCCGGGACCTGCTCGGGCGAGGGGCCCCCGAGCCAGAAGGGGACGGCGCGTCCCGGCGAGCACCCACTCCCGGGTAAGCAAAGCCCCCCGCGCCTCTCCTCTGCTGCGCCCCGAGGAGTTTCCCGCACGGAGCGCAGCTGCGGGGGAACTGGGGCGCCGGCGTTACGCGAGGCGGCTGTGCAGCTCCTACCCAGCGCCGGGAGCTTTCGGGTCCCGCGCCCGCGGCTCGCCCCCTCCCTCCACCCGGGCAGCAGTGAGGTCACGCCAGAGCCTGGCCGGGGTGGGAGGCTTGGATCCCGCGGCAGGGCAGAGGGTGTGAGTGGCGGGGTGGGAAGGGGTGGCAGAAGGCAGAAAAATACGGCAAATCCTACCAAATTGGGAGGTGGGAGCCAACGCAGCGCTTTGAGAAAAGCTCTTGGGAGAGGAGGCAGGGGAGCCCAGAGTTTGTTTACAGACCTGAGGTCCAGGCTGGGGGTGGGGGAGTGGGCAGGAGGAGAGCCCAGTTCCTGGCCCCCGGACATTTCTGGAAGCGCCGGGAACACCTGGCAGAGCCCCTCACGGGCCCACACCGCCCGCCTCTGGGTGCCGGGATGCCACCGCGACCCTCACCCTCGGTGGGCGCTCGGAGTCGGCTACAAAGGGGTGGTGGGAGGTATCCCTAATCCCCTCACCCACCCTCCCCCTTCCAAAATAACCCGGCTCAGGGTGACCCGGCGCAACGTCGTAGCGGAACAGACTGTCTCGCAAGGCTCCGGGCTGGGGTGAAAGTTGGGTTGCGCGCCCGCCGCGTTCGGGGCGCAGGTAACCTTGAGCGGGCGCCCGCGTCCCCGGCTGGCTGGGGGTTCTGAGCTGCGCAGTCGAGGCTGCGGGCCGGGGTGGGGCTCACTTAGCGCGCGTCGTGGGCACAGACGCCCGCGCGGGGCCCGCTCGTGTCCGGCGTGCGCCCGTCTGGTTGGCGTGATCCCACAGCTTCGGCTCCGAGGGCCCCGCCCTGCCTTTTAGGCTGCCAGGACTTCCAGAGCCGAAGCCTTCAACCACCTGTTGGAGAGGGCTTGGGTAGCCGTTGCCGCGGGTGCCAGCGTGGGCGCAGCCCCGGCGCTGCGCTCTTTCTCCCCCGCCAGCAGCGCAGCTTTCCCCACCGGGGAGGGAGGTTCCCTCTCCAAGACACTCTGCCTTGGTCGGGTTCGCTGCGCTTTGGTCGGGTCCCCAAAGGCGCCTCTGCGCCCGCCCTGCAGCAAGGGGTCGTCCCGGCGAGGGCTGGCCACGGCCAGGGGGTGTCGTCGCGAGCCACCAGAACCGAGAAGACGCTACCTCCACGCCTCCTCCCATCTCCAGACGGGGGTCCTGGGGCCCTGGAGAGGAGGGGGCTTGCCCAAATTTCCACCGCGAGAGGCGGTTGCCAATTCCACCTCGAACCCCGGCTTAGCGCCCCCTGGCGGCCCGAGGGCTCGGGGGGTGCCGAGTGTGCCCCAAGATGCGCGGAGCGCAGGCCGAGGGTGACCCGGCGTCCCGCGCGGCGGTCCTGGACGCTCTTACGCCCGGCAGGAATAATCCGCCAGGACCCAGAGGCCCGGGCCAGGTGCCGCATCCCATCTCCGAACCCCACGCCCACCCCTCACCCCCAGCGACTTGCCGGGGCGGCGGAGGGAAAAGCTTGGAGCCCCGGGGCCCCTCAGAAAGAGCCGGGAACAGCTGGGGGCTGCTCTCGGTGCACGGCGAGACCCGGCGCCCCTCCTCCTTCTGCACGAGCTGGGCTGGCCAGCGAAATCCCGCCGAGTCCGCGCCTTCCTCCCTCCGCGTGAAGCCCTCTCCCTGCCTCGGAATGAGGGGCGCCTCACCGGGGAGCCCCCACTTTGGGAGAGAGTGGGAACAAAGACAGACAGTGACTAGAGTTTTGATTCTCTTTCTTTGCCCCATATTCGGGCGAGGCTTCTCTCCTTCTCAGGAGTGTGGTCAACTCTCAGGGCCAGGAAGACAAAGAGTTGGATGAAGACTGGGTGGAAGGAGGGGGCTCGTGAGTCTGAGAACCCCGCTGAGACCCCCAGCCTGGACTTGGCACGGTTGCTGGAGAGGGCGCCGGGTTAGGTGCCCAACGAGGGGCTCTGCGGAGGGAAGGTGCGGGGGAGAGACTATAATTCAGGATTTCTCCCTGCCTTCCTCTGGGTCATGCCGAGGGCTCCAGAAAGCAGTGGGGTTTCAAATGCGCGCGTGTGTTTAGGGAACACAACACACAGGTGTGGGTGATGGTGGAAAGTCAGGCAGAGCGGAGCTCACACACCCGCAGGACTCGTGGGAGGCTGCAGAGACCTCGAGAGATGCTTGGCCAAGTCCAGCTCCTTGTTTCTCTGAAAGGGGGAAACTAAGACTGAGCGAGCCGGTGGAGGACTCGCCTGAGCTCACCCTGGCAGAGGAGAAGGTCCCTTCCCCGCTCAATTACCCGCCTGCAAAGGCAGGAGGGCCCCTTCTTTTTCGGACTTCCCAACCCCTCTGGCAAGGAATCCCTTTGTCTGTGCTCCTCCCTGGGGGCGAGAGGCTGCGCTTTCGAAGTCTCCGGGCGAACACCAGGTGTTAGTAAATTTGGGAGAAGCTGGGAAGGGAGTTAATGAGGTGAGAATGTAGGGTTGGGGCGGTGGAAGAAGAAGAAAAAGAAAAAAGCCAGAAAAAGCCCCTCCGGGGCTGGCTAGGCCCTTGTGGTAGCCGCAGCTTCGCGGCCCAGGGCGCCTCCTGGCGGCCGAAGGCGGCATCGTGCCAGCCCCGCGCGCCCCTGGGCCCAGCCCACGCCGGGCGAGGCCGCCTTCGCGCGGCGCTGGGCAGCACCCGACCCCGCGGTCCTGAGCAGCCCCTGCTGCACGAAGACGGTGGCCATTGCAGCTCTCACCCTCCCCTTCACGGACTGAGGAGCTGATGCCCAGGCTGAGCCCCCATGTCCGTGTCCTCTCGTGCTTCACGATCCACGATCTCGCAGCGCGCGGGTAGAGGAGGGAGCGGCCCCTGGGCGCGTGGCCGCCGTGCGCTGGTCGCGAGCCCACCTCACACCTGCGGGCTTCAGTTTCCTCACCTGTGTGATGGGCCAGGGCTAGTAACCTGTCCCAGAGTTGCTGTAAGGAGCAAAGGTGACCTTGGCAGGTAAACAGTCTTAATAAAAGGGAAATGCGTTGTGTCCGAACCACAAAATGTGTGTTCCCAGCTGACCGGGGGGCTCCACTGAGGCCCCGCGAAGAGGGAGAATTGCTTATTATTGTAGGGGAAATAATCCAGGTGAGGGCCGGAATCTGTTCCAGCCCCCAAGCTGGATCCCTTGGTCCTCTCCTTTCTGCGCTGTCCAGGTCCACGTCCCTTCGGGCTTCTCCTTCGGCCTCTGAGCGTCTGGCCCTCCCGCTCAGTCTCTCCCTGCCTCTCTGCCTCTCTGTCTCTCTGTTCTGGTTTCTTAGGGGCCTTTGGTCCCGACGACGCCCGGTCCTTCCCTCCGCAGCCCGGGCCCCAGCCGGTGCGCGCCAGGCAGCGGCCCGACGGGGGCGGCTTGGTGGACACGGCCCCCCGCGCGGGGGCATCTCCCGAGCCAGCCCCGCGGGATCGCGGCCGCGGCCGGGCCAGTGCGGGGCTGGAGGCGACGCCCGGCGCGCGTGCGGCCTCGCGGGTCCCCGACCCCTCCTTTGTAATTTGAATAAAACGCCCCCCCCTCCGGCCCCCGCCCCGCGCGGCCCTAACCCGCCGCCTCCTCTCTCCGGCTGCAGGCGGCGCGCGGCGGGACTGTGCGCGGCTCCTCGACGCTGCGACCCCGGGCGCCCGCCGCGCCACCACGATGAGGGCTCGGCCGCGGGTCTGCGAGGCGCTGCTCTTCGCCCTGGCTCTCCACACCGGGGTGTGCTATGGCATCAAGTGGCTGTAAGTAGGGACCCCACGTCCACGAGCGCGGTCCCGGGGAGGGGCGGCCGGGAGGCGGCAGGGAGAGTGAAGGGGCACCCTGCGCGCACGCAAGACCCGGGGGCGGAGGTTGGCTTGGGGGTCGGAGGCCCCAGCCATTCTTCTCTTCGGCCTGCTTTTCCTCGGTGAAATATTGTCCCTGGCTCCCCGAGGGCTGGCGGCAGGAGCGAGACTGGGGAGACTGGACGTGGAGGGCCCCTGGATGCCCCAGCCTTGTGCCCTGAGGAGCGCGCAGGTCCTCGCAGGGGCGGCTGGAAAAAGACAGCGCGGGGCCAGGGGCGCAGGCAGGGAGGTCTGGGCCTTGCACACGGGCTCCTAATGTTTCCTTGCCAGTCTCCTTGCTCTAGCTGGAGATCCTCCAAAGCAATCCTGACCCGCACACCTGGGAGACTTTGGGCAGTGGCACCCCACCTCTCAGAACCTCAGTGTCCTCTTCTGCCAAAGGAGGGCAAGAATATTTACCACCGCAGATCAGAGGAGAGGCGGCGCATGAAAGACGCCCCTACACTGTCAGATGTTGTGCACATGTGAGGGGTATTGCTTCAATGGCCATTATTAACGGAGGGGTGGGTCGGAGAGGAAGCGCCCCTCCATTCAGCAGGAGGGAGTGCCGGTTCTGCGCAGGACTGCGGGCCAGTGCCGGCAGATGGAGAGAGGATAAAACCCAGCCCTTTCCTGGAGGAGCTGCCCTCCCGGGCTGGAAGAGATAAGCCCAGGCTGTAAATAACTCCAAGTGCCCAAAGAGAGACCAGGGCCTGTGTTGTGGGGGCCTAGAGGAGGAGAGGCCACCTGCTTGTGGGGGGGTCCATATTTGGGGACCTGGGGAGATTTTTCAGGTGGTGCCCTAGACCGGGCCTGAAGAATCTCTGGAAATTTGTTGGGTGGGGGCAGTGGGAAGGAGGGCACTTTGGGTGGAGAAGTCCAGGACTGGAGGAGGTCTGGAGTTCGGGCCGGGGCGGGGAGCCGTGCAGATAAGACAGGCAGGGGACAGATTATGGGGGCTGGGGAGAGATTGTGAGGAAGGTTCGTGGATTAGCTGCAAGACAGGGCGATAGTGGCTGGGCCACCAGCAAACAGTCTCGAGGTCGCTGGCTCTGCCCTTTCTATGACTGAGTTATCGATTAATTAACTGGTGATTCAGGAGGGGAACCCCTTCTTGTGTTTCCTGTTAGCATGGAGAAGTCTGGGTTGAGTGGCCTCCCACCCTGGGGCTCCGGCTCTACTTAACTCCTCCTGATTAGTTTTATTGAGCAATCAAGCTCCTTCCTTCTGCTGACCCGGCACCGTCCCAGCTGATGGGAGAGTCCAAGCTGTCTTTGCCCGTTGCTAGCATTTAACAGATAAGGAAGGAGAGGAAAAGGTTCTGCTGAAGAGCGTAAGGCGCGGCAGAGGCTAAGATGGGGCTTGGGTGGCATTTGCTGCTCATCAAGCACTGTGGACGCGGCTGTCACCCCCTCTGAGAGGTGTGACTTGCTCGAGCCCCCAGCCTGGCATGTGACCAGTAGGAGCAAATGGCCAATTAAACCCAACCCTGCTGCATAGCTGCCACAGGCATGGCTTCAGCTTAGTGATCCTTTACAGGCGCCTCTTGGGAGAGATGGACACATGAAAACTATGAAGCAGACTTTGGGCTCTGTCCTAGGAGAGAAAGAGTGGGACCCCAGGGGAGAAGTAGTTCGTTGCACCTCAAGGAGTGATTTGGGGCTGAGTTTGGAAGCGCAGGTAGGATTCTGATGATCAAGGATGGACTGGAAAGGTGGTACAGCAGGAGGCAGGACCGTGCCTGGGGGGAAGCAGAAGCCAGGAATCCTGTTCCTAGAGCTTTAGTCATTTACTTTTGAGGTTGATAATAAGACCATTTTACAAAGGAGGAAACTAAGGTACAGAGAGGTTCAGTAACTGGCCCAAGGTCACACAGCTAGTTTATGGTGGCTATGGGATTAGAACCCAGGTGGAGCTGAATCTTTTGATAAATGGTTAAACACTTGCTAGATCTTAAGCTAGAGAGGGACACAGGAGAAGGAATGGAGTTTAAGACTAACAACGATGCCTGTGTGCGTGTTTGTGTAGATTTGTATATGTTCATATGTACTATTTCATTTACTCTCCCATCCGCCTTGGAAAGTGGGTCCTGCTATCACCCCCTTTCAGGAGAAAAGACTATGGAGACAAAGGTGTCTCTAGCAGTGTCACAGCCAATAGGCAGCAGAGTTAGGACTGGGAGTTAAGTTATCTGCTCGGTGTCCTGTTGGTCACCAGGATCACCAGGTGGTTGGGAACAGAGAAATGGACGGTGGGGGTGGGACCTGGAGCCTCGTCTAGGAGACTCAGTGTCCTGCAGTTGTCCCCGGGGCTCTGCTCCTGGGGCTCTGGAAAGTAAACTGAAGATGAAAGGGGCGTTTGCACAGGAACTAAAAGCAGATGTGGCCACATGACCTGGAACGCCCACCTGTTGGGGACCCGGGACAGCCTGCGCTTCCTGGTGGGAGGATGTAAGGGAGAGGGGTCGGAACCTGGTTGCCCCTGAAAGCACCTGACGAGAAATAACCCAGGGACCCCTCCCCTTCCTCATCCCTACCCACACCAGTTGCTGGGAGACTCTCACACCAGCCAGTGTCAGGGGACCCAGGTGGACCACCAGCCCCTTCTCTGGCCACCCTAGGCTAAGGGAGGGTAGAAAAGGCTCCAACTTCTTATGAACCCATAGGCCTGCCTAGTGAGGAGAAAGGCTCAGGATAGCCAAGAGGGCCCATGAAAGCCACCCATTCTCTGGGACCAGCCTCTGGAAGAAGAACCCTAAGACCTCCCAGAAAGTGTATAACTGCTCAGAGTGCATGAAGGAGCAACAGACCAAGGCAGGAGCCGGGCCCCAGCCTGAGCTATCCCAGTTCACTCACCAGAAGCCTAAAATGGAACTGAAAGAGGCCTGGTGTGCAATCTGAACGTCGGCGCTAGCTCATCTCCGCCTCACATTGGCTGTGGATGTGTCTGGGTAACTCCTGCCCTTCTCGGTCGCCCCGATAACAGAATGGAATGGGGAAACTGAGGCCTGGAGAGGGGCAGTGGCTTGCCCAAAGTCACATGTTGGGTGAATGGCCGAGCTGAGTTGGAACCCAGGGTGCAATCTCTCAGCCAGTCCCAGGAGAAGCCGGACTCCCAAACAGAGACCCTCAGCCACCCCAGAGCACCCTTGGCACAGGCCTTGCCTGTGAACTCTCAGTTCCCTCCTGTCCTCTCTTCCACCCTCTCCCCCAGACCCCCATCCCTAGATAACCAAAATGTTTTCAATTAGGGGTCTGCTACAGTGAGGCAAGCTGGAGGAAAAGTCCAGACGGGTAACTCCCCCGCCTCCCGCTCTACTCCTTGATTACCTCCCCAAGGGGGACTTAGTTAGAAATGGTCATTACCACTAATTACCAGATGACCGCATCGCCCTCCTCAGGAGTGGAATCTGCTGTCTCCCGCCTCCTGGTCTCCCGGCCTGCATGCTCCTGTGGGCCAGCCATTCCCAGCACTCTAGCAGGCGGCCCCCCACACCCTGCAGGCCTCTCTGTCCCCCACCACATTCTTCAGCAGCTCCTTGGGCCTCCACCCGCCCCTCGCCCACAGGAGCCTCCCTCCTGAACTTTAGCTGGGAGTGCCCTTGTAGCACCTTCTCAGAGGCTGATGTTTGATGACTTCGGAGTGGCCCGGAGTCCCCAGCCAGTAGGACCCCAGGCACCAGGAGCCTAGGGTACTCCTCCCAGGAGTGATGCAGCTGGCACTCAGGAGTTGTCTGAACAGAGGCCCTCCTTATCCTACTTGACTTTAGCAGGATTAGGCACCCATTGTGTGCTGGGGGTTTTCTTGTGTGTCTCATGATTCTTTCCACTGTGAAGCAAGACTGGCCCAGAGGGGAAGGAGGAAGTTGAACAGAGAGGCTCAGGATGGGCTGAGTGTTGACTCCACCAGAGAGGAGACCCTGGAGGGAGGGAGAGGCCAGGTCTGCAGGAGGATGGCTACAGGAGGAGGTGGAACCCAGGCACTGATCGGATGGGGTGCCTCAGTGTCCCCTCTGTAGACAGTGGGGGGATAGTAACCCCCCAGGACAACGCTTCCAGTATATTGTGGTGATGGAATGAGGCATGAAATGAACAGCTCTGTAAACTGGAGGTGTTGTGCCCGCGTGCGGGCCTTATGTGTGGACAGTGTTTGCTGAGTGGGGGTGGAGAGGTTGTTAATAACCAAGAGGATGACATCACCCACCTCTGTGTGGCCACACTCACTCAGCTTGACTGCAGAAAATTAGACAACAGGTTCTCTGAGAAGGTGCCCCAGTGTAGGTGGCCCTGGTGGCTCAGAGGCTCGGAAACCACATAGTTTCGTTTAGGCCAAGAAGGCAGGCCTGACTCTGCTCTGTCTCTGTGTCCAGATACACCAACGTTTCCTGGTTCAAGATTTGGGAAGTGAAGATGGGACGAGGTGGCAGTGAGGGTAGATTCCCCAGGACATCCACAGTTGATCTCAGGCAGGCTAGATTGTGTCACCTGAGCCACAGATCCTAGGCCAACCCCTCTTGCCCTGGGAAGATTTCTATATTTCAGAGTTGCAGGAGGGCATGGCAGGGAGTGCAGGCAGGAGGAAGCAAACTACCTTACTAGCCCTCAGTGGAGCAGGCATTCAGCCCTTACAAAACCTCTGGGGGTGTGTGTGTATGTGTATAGGGGGATTGTCTCTGGACTCCCTCTGCCCTAAATTCACCTGGCAACAAGTTAGCGGATCCCTTTAATGAATGTTCCAAATGCTTCAATACATTTTTTAATCTAAGTCTTACCATCACTTCTTGAAGTAGAAATAATCATTTTCTTATACTGCAGATGAGAACCATGAGGCTAGACAGGCTGGATAACTTGCCCATGTCACATAGCTAGTGCCCGGAGCCTGTGCTCTTCCTGGGCCAGCCCATGAGCTGGAACATCTGGGCCATTACCTTAAAGATCTATGTCATGATGTCATGTTCATTAATAGTCTGAGAAGAGTTGGTGCTTAGTGCATATTTCTTCCATAAGTAGGCCGAGTTCCTTTATTCATTTAGGTGCAGGAGCAGAGGGAAGGGCATTCCTGGCATCAGGGAAAGCTGGGGCAAAGGCATGGTTATAGGGCCCTCTGGGAGAAGCCAGGGGTCTGGTATACCCGGATCTATGACACCTAGAGGATGAGAGACTGGAGAAGGTTGGGGGACAGGTTTCCAGGGGCTTTGGATGTCAGGTCATAGCCTTTGGTCTTGAAGAGATGGTCACCAGCAGCCCCTGGGGCAGTTACCATAATCGTCCACCTCTGAGCCCTGAGCATGTCAGGCCTGGACAGAGCATGTGATGCTCTTTGTCTGAGTTAATCCCTCAGATAATGCTGGGAGTTTGTGGGACAGGAGAGGTTAAGGGGCTTGCTCAGGGTCACAGCGAAGTGATAGGGCCAGGAGTCTACCCAGGTCTGTACTGTTCCCTGCTCACCAGGCTGCCTCTTTAGGGACCTCGGGCCAGGGGTTCTCAGAGCTGGGCCTCACCAGGTCTCAGCCCCGCCTGGGTGACAGCTGCCATGGTCACACAGTACCGCATCCTTCTAGCCTCTGATTCGAGGAGGTGCTGCTTGATACCATCTGCTCCTCAGAGAAGGCCTGAGAGAAAGGCAGCTCCAGGCTGAAGGGCCTCAAGGACCTGGAAAGAAATTAGTTCCAATAATGTCTCCAGAGGTCATAGAGACCCTCTAGGCCAGCATGTCCCAAAGCATGGATGAGGTCTGCCCTCCTCCTTGTGCTTCGCAAACTTGAGTTAAACAAAACCAAGCCTTTTCTTTGCTACGAAACTCAGGGACTTTATTTTATTTTATTTTTAAAGATTTATTTTTCATTTTTACAAGGCCAGATACTCGGGAGGGTGAGAGGATTCACCAGAGACAGAGTGGGGAACAGAACAGGCAGACTGATGAATAGACTGCTGAGGGGAGCAGCGGGCGAGTCAGGAGAGGTCTGCTAAGCCATATGGGTAGCTCCCTGGCCGGCTGGGGATTGATGTAACCGTATATCATGACTCTCCAAGGCAGAGGGGGGTAGGTTTGGGGGGTAGTATCTCATGTTCCCCTAAAGTACTTGACCATGGATCCCTTTTTTCAGTGTGTTTTACTGAAACTCATTCTGGGAATTACAGTTGGCAGGTACAGACATTGAGGCCAAAAGAGAATTTTTTTTTTTTTTAATGAAATACCATTGTTTTACATCCTTGTTAATGTCTTGACAGTATACAGTTTCTCTCCTTGGGCGTAGTCACTGTAGCTCCCCCACTACCAAAGCACCCATAGTCCTCCACATTAGTACATTCTGCACTCTCTCCCCTGCAGCCCACCCCCCGCCCCCTACTCCACTATCCCCTGCCGCTCCCCTGATGCCTCAGCAATATGGTCAGTTTTCTAGGTTTGGTTTTAATGTTTGTCTTTGTCTGATCTTTTGTTTAGTTTCTCTGTATTCCACATAGAAGTGACAGCAAACAGTATTGCTCTTTGTCCTCCTGACTTATTTTCCTTAGCACAATCCTTTCTAGCTCCATTCATGTTGCTGCAAATGACGTGAGCATATCTGTTTTGATTGTTTAGTATCCTATTGTGTATATACACCACAACTTTTTGATCCAGTCATCTGTTTTGGGGCACTTGGGTTGCTTCCATATCTTGGCTATTGTAAATAGTGCTCAGTAAACAGAGGTGTGCGGATTTCCTTTTGAATTTTGATCAGTGTTTTTTTGGTAGATCCCTAGGAGTGGAATTGCTGGGTCTTATGGCAGATCCATTTTTAGTCTGTTGAGGAACCTGCACACAGCTTTCCATAGGGGCTGGACCAGTCTGCATTCCCAGCAACAGCGTAAGAGGGTTTCCTTTTTCTCCACACCCTAGACAGCACTTGCTGTTTCTGGCATTCCTGATATGGGCCACTGTCACTGGAGTTCGGTGATATTTGCATTTCCCTGATGATAAGTGATGATGAGCATTTTTCCATGTGCCTGTTGGCTCTCTGTGTGCCTCCTTTGGAGAAGTGCCTGTTTAGCTCTTCTGCCCATTTTTTGATTGGGTTATTTATTTTCTTTTTGTTGAGTTGTATGAGCTCTTTGCAGATCTTTGATAAGAGTCCAGAGACAGGAATTTTCCTAAGGTCACACAGCAGGTTAGTGTTTAAGTCCAACTTATCACAAAATTGAGTCACTCTTTAACCCTTTAAAAAATCCTTTGCATGGATGTGGGCTTAATAATTAAATGAAGCAATAACTGGTTCATCATCGCTTAAATGAAGTGATGATGGGAAATTCCTAACACATATGGTACATCTAATAAGTGTTTGATTAATAGTATGATTATGATGATGATGATAATCTAGCACATAACATGGTGTCTGGCACTTACGGGTGCTTGGTGTTGAGTGAGTGGTGAATAATGGGAAATAATTCACAGCTGTGGATGTGAGTGCTTGTGAACTGGAAATCTGTTTTTTTGTTATTATTATTATAATAAAGCTTAGGTAGACAGAAGTCATGATCATGTGTTATAAATGAGGTCTAGGCCCTTGAGAGGGACAGTGACGTCCCCCAGGTCACATGGGGGACAGGAGGAGTGAATGTCCTGCTGGAGACTGTGCTTTGCCTTCCAGCAAAGGCTTGCAGAAGCCATTGAGTTAAGGAGAGGCAGAAACCAGTGGAAGCAACGCAACTTTTCATGACCTTGTTTTCCCTTCCATTGGTTATTGGTTTTTGCCACATACAGGGCATTGTCCAAGACACCGGCGGCCCTGGCACTGAACCAGACACAACACTGCAAGCAGCTGGAGGGCCTGGTGTCCGCGCAGGTGCAGCTGTGCCGCAGCAACCTGGAGCTCATGCACACCGTGGTGCACGCCGCCCGTGAGGTCATGAAGGCCTGCCGCAGGGCCTTTGCTGACATGCGCTGGAACTGCTCCTCCATCGAGCTCGCCCCCAACTACCTGCTTGACCTGGAGAGAGGTAGGGAGCCAGGCAGGGCCACCCGAGAATGTGGGGTGTAGGTGGATTGGGGAAGGATGGGATCAGATCTAAATATATATGTGTTTAGATATGAGGGTAAATTCATGGGTGGATGGATGGGTGGGTGGGTGGATGATGAATGAATATAGAAGGATACAGGCATAACTGGGGTTGGTATCTAGGCATACTCTGGTGAGTGAAGAAATACAAAGTGAGTGAATTACTAGCCCACGGGAGGCTAGACGACAGACAGTGCAAATGCACGTGTATCCTAATGCATGAATGAAGGAAGAATGATTCCAGGGAGGCTCTAGGGAAAAGAGTGTGTAACAAGAATGCCCACCACCGGGGCACACAGGTTTGCAACAGGTTAACTGGAGACCAGGGTGAGTACAGTTTCTGTGAGATGCACAAGGTGATGCAGGGGCCAGGGAACATCTGTGGAGAAGACTTCCTGAAGGAGGTGGCCTATGGGATAGGTTTGTGGGCAGCGCCATGTTCCCCCTGAATGCTCAAGGGGAGAAGGTTTCCTTGCCTTGGCTCTGGCGGTTGCCAGCTCTCCTCTGCATTCCTTGTTTCGTAGCTGCATCACTCCAATCTCTGTTTCTGTCATGTCGCACACCCCTCTCTGTGTCTGTCCAAAATTCCCTCTTCCTATGGGGACACCAATCATTGGTTTAGGACTTCACTTGGTATGACTTCATCTTAGCTCAATTACACCTACAAAAAACCCTGTTTTTAAATGAAGAGTTATTCACAGGTGCCAGGGTCAGGACTTGAACAGATCTATTGTTGGGGGTGTGGGGACAGATTTCAACCCACAGCAGGCTCTCTTTGCACACTTATCTTGCCTATTGGTCACGGGTTCTTTGTAAAGATTTATTTGTTTGTGCATATAAGAACTGGGGTATAGGCCAGAGGTGCAGGGGGTGAGAGGATTCACCAGAGACAAAGTGAGGAACAGAACAGGCAGATTGGCTGAAATACACTGCAGGTGAGGCAGGAGAGGTCTGCTGCACCATGTGGGTTACTCCCCAGCGGTTGGGGGAATCAAACTCTAACTGGTGCTGCAGTGGCTGGCAATAGCTTGATAGCACTGTCTTTAACACCCTGTGCCACCAGGGAGGCCCAAGAGTTCTTTGTGGAGCTCTGGGAGGGGCCTTCATTTCTGTAAAGGGGCCCCTAACTAGCATGGAGTACAAGGCAGCAGGTGGAAGTATGGAACTGTGTGTGTGAGTGAGTGAGGGTTGCCTGTGGGTGTGCACGGCTCTGTGGGCCTGCCCGGTGCAAGCGTGTGCATGGCAGCCAGTGTATTTATGGGAGAATGGGAAGGTGACAGATTCATGGCCAGAGTGTTGCCCAACCTCCGTCACCCTGGTCACAGTCCCTGTCCATACCCCACCCTGCAGAGGCCACTAGGCACCAAGAAGGAACCCTTCAGGCCTGGGTGGAGTCCTATCCCTGGGTCAGCCACACCCCACTGACCCTGAACCTGTGGCCCCACAGGGACCCGGGAGTCGGCCTTCGTGTATGCGCTGTCGGCCGCCGCCATCAGCCACGCCATCGCCCGGGCCTGCACCTCCGGTGACCTGCCCGGCTGCTCCTGCGGCCCTGTCCCAGGTGAGCCACCCGGGCCCGGGAACCGCTGGGGAGGATGTGCGGACAACCTCAGCTACGGGCTCCTCATGGGGGCCAAGTTTTCCGATGCTCCTATGAAGGTGAAAAAAACAGGATCCCAAGCCAATAAACTGATGCGTCTACACAACAGTGAAGTGGGGAGACAGGTAACCACCCACCCCACCCACCCAGAGGGTTGCCATTCATTGGAAAAGGGCCACCAGCTGTGCCCTGATGGAGGGGGGAAGAGAGAGGGGGGATGGGCCCTGATCCACCCAGACTAATGTGCTCCCTGACTCCCTCAGCTCTGCCCTCGCCAGTTGCTTGGGCCCTGCTTGGCTCCTCCTCCTCCAGGGGGTGCACCGGGATTTGGGTTGGTGAACGTTGGAGCAGAAGGAGCACTGAGTTTGGAGCCAGGAGCTCTGAGCTTCTGCCTTGGCTCTGGCACTACACTCGCTGTGTGATGTTGGGCGATTCACTTCCTCTCTGGCCTCAGTTTTTCCCATCTATAAAATGGGAGGGCCTGGTGCTCTCTAATCCCATCGGCTGTGTTCTTCAGGCTTTTCCTGGGCCGCAGTTGGGTGTGGGAGCAGGTGTGGAGTAGGCCTTACTCTAAAGAGTCGTCTCCTTGGCTCTAACGAAGACTCTGAAACTCACACCAGCCCAAAACAATTTTCCCTCTCGTTTGTTATTAATAATGTTTCACTGATTCCCCACCATTCTACAGAAGGTTGGGAGAGTGAATGTTAAGTGAATGGAATGTTGTTACTTTTTGAGAATTGAAAAAAAGAACAACTGTATTTTAAGCTGAGCACCAGACACTGTGCTGGGTGCTCGGCTCCTTTCCTCTGCTGTGGTCTACAGAACAACCCTTCTTATAGATGGTCCCGGGAGAGGGGTGTCGGGTGCAAATGGCACCTCCTCACCTCTTCCCTGCAGCCTGTAAACCCCTTACAGAGGCACCAGGTGCGGCAGAAAGAGCTTAGGGAGCTCCACCAAGGATACACAGCACCGGGAGCCCAGGTCTGTGGGACTCCAGAAGTTTCCATGTCCTCACCACCTTCCTCACTGGTCTCCCACATGGAAGAATTCTGGGATGTCCAGTCCATCTTTGGGCTTTTGGGGAAACTGAGGCCAAATCATAATGTGGGTCTGTAGCAGACCCTGGCCAGGGACCCAGGACTCCTGCCTCCCAATCCTGCCTAGCCTTTCATCCATCCATGGGAACCTAGCAGGCCCTTCACCCATTCCCTGTCCCCACCCATGTGCAGGCCCGAGCCTCTGGCTGCTGGACACGGCCATCCCTTTGTGAAATGCAGTCTGTAAACAATGGCCTCAGCCGCGGGCACACATTGGGCCTGTCCCTGGGCCCTGGTGCAATGCACTGGGCTCCCTGAGGCCATGTGCTAAAGGGAACTACCTACGTCTAAATGCAGAGCCTGAGGGTAAACTGAGTTTACTGCTCAGACCTCATGAAGCCCTGAGGAATTGAACATAGTTTTCCTTTATTCCATGACTCAAAAGTACCCTTGGGAGGTTGCACATGCCCTGTCCTCATGTTCACACCAATCCTGTGCTCTCTACCTGCTTTGCTGAGCCAGTTCCAGATTGTTGCCCAAGTGAACTCCCTCATTCCTGGCCCTGCAAAGGAGGAAGGAGTCTTGGGACCTAACCATCTCCCTCACTAACTCTCCAAAGGCCTACCCTCTGTGTGCCTCAGTCTCCCAATCTTTCTGATACAAGGGTAGGCCTGGGTGACTCATAACCCCTGCAGCCATGTGCACAGGGCAGGCAGGAGGGCTGGCTGGGTGGAGGACTCCGGTCTTAGGTGCCAGAGGGAGGGTTAAAAAGCTGCAGAGGCATGTAACTTAGGTCCTTCGGGTACACATGGGGAAACTGAGGCCCAAGGAAGGTGATGGGGCAGATACTCACACAGCGAGGGCTACAGTCTCCCAAGCCCGGAGCCTAGCTAGTCCTTCCCGCTCTACCATAATTATTATTTAGACTGAGTTTTCAAATCCAACATGTTTGTAACTTTTATAGCTCACAAAATCCTTTCATATATGTCACCTCATTGAATCCTTGAAACTGCCTGTGCAGAGTAGCAATTACCTGCCTTCGCTGATGTGGGGAGATAGGGCTGCTGGGGAAGTGGTTGCTTCAGGTCATGCGGCCGGGACACCCCAGGAACTCACCTCCTACCTCTTCTTCCCTCCTTTCCTTCTCAATTTTTTTTTTACCCACCCCCTTCTTTTTTTCCCCAGCAAGCTATTAGTCAGCCTCAGTTTTGTGTGAGAGGAAAAAAACATGGAACAATTAAAGCCATGGCTTTTGGAGTCACCCTCAGACCTGGGTTCAAGTCCCAGCTCCATAATTCTATAGCTGTGCGACCTTGGGAATGAGCCAGCCGCTCTGAGCCTAATTCCTCTTTTTGAAATGGGGGCAGTAGTATCTCCTGTGAAAGGCTGTGTGGTGATTAAGCCACACTATACGCTAGAGTACTTGGTAGACAGTAGGTGCTTGATAAATGAAATCTTTTATCCCTGCAAATATCACTATCTTCCTGCCCCCCAGGTTGGAAAAGGACCTGCAATGCCCCATATTTAGAGCAACCAGTTCAGTCACTGGAGGTCTGGGGCTGCGATGACTTCCCGAGAGCACCCAGCACTAGGGGAAGAGGGTGTGGGCAGGGTGCTGGGGCAGGCCAGGGAGGGGGGCCCGGCCACCCAGCCCGAAACCCTCCCCTGTCCACAGGCTCTGCGTGCCTCTCTGGAAATGAAGTGTAAGTGCCACGGGGTGTCTGGCTCCTGCTCCATCCGCACCTGCTGGAAGGGGCTGCAGGAGCTTCGCGATGTGGCCGCTGACCTCAAGACCCGCTACCTGTCGGCCACCAAGGTAGTGCACCGGCCCATGGGCACCCGCAAGCACCTGGTGCCCAAGGATCTGGATATCCGGCCTGTGAAGGATTCAGAACTCGTCTATCTGCAGAGCTCACCCGACTTCTGCATGAAGAATGAGAAAGTGGGCTCCCACGGCACGCAGGACAGGTAAGGAGAGCGGTGGTCATGTTGCTTGTGCCCCACCCCAAGTCAGGGCCAGGCCCACAGTGGGGCCTTGGTTGGCATTTGGGGCGTGGGGAGTCCCCATGGTTAAAGGGGATGGTCGAGGAATGCCGAGTGGAGGTGCCAGGGTCCAAGCGACCCTCAGCAGGGCTCTGGGAATGGCTGTTGTGTGTCTTGCCCAGAAGGGGGCCCTGGAGAATGGAGGATGGGGTGAGTCTCCTAACCCCACCTTTCTCCTAGTGGGGGAGACAGATGGGAAGAGACCGTGACTATGTTGGTAAACTGGCCAGGAGAGAGGCTGCTCGAAGGCCTGGCCGAGAGCAGTTCTGAGGGGAGATTTGCTAAATGAGTAAGTGGAGGCTAAATATCATACGACTTGCTCATCAGACAAGTAAAGAACTGAGGCACAAGGAAAGGTGGGTGCAGCAGCAAGTCCCTGGCCACACAGGAACCGGGCAGTCACTTTTCAGAGGGGCAGCAGGGGCGCCCCAGCATTCTGCCCAGAGATGGTGCTCCCTTGTCCCTGATATGCACGCACCCCTCCTGGGCCCAGCTGTTTCCCACTTTCAGAACTGGACTGGGGTCCTTATAGCCCAACGTGGCTGCTGCAGTCAGCTCAGGATTTGGGGTGGAGGGAGGCGGGGAGGAGCAAGTGGTGATTGCAGACCTACTGTGTACCCGGCAAAGATTCCTGGAAGCAGCATTTCCCAGAGGAAGCGCAGTCCCGGCATGCTGCACCAGAGTTCTGTGATCACATGTTTGGGGAATTCTCTTTGGTGATTCACAAGGCACGAGAACATATCACAGGCTCAGGGGCTCCGTCTAAGCAATGTTTCCGAGAGGCGTTTGCTCTGGAACTCTTTTATTAAGGAGCCCCTAATAGCATTCCACAAAGCTAGTGTTCTGCGGGGTTAAAAGAATATTGAACCAGAGAGAGGGTGTCTGAGAATGTGTCTGGCACATAGTTGGGGCCTCGCCAACGTTTGCTTCCTCCGCAGCCCACGTTCCTGTCTCCAGAAGAGGGGGGGGCTGCTTTGGGGGCTCCATCCTCAAAAACCAGGGGAGCAGGTTCTTCAAGGAGGCCTGGGGTCCCATCTGGAGGCCAGATTGAGGGGTTCAGTGGAGTGAAGATGGAACCAGGAGAGGCCAGGGAGATGGAAGGAGCGGGAGTCTGGACTGAAGCAGCAGGGGTGGGGGGAGGAGGATTCCAGAGCCCAGAGGGCCTGGCAGGAGCCTATTGAGGACCCTGGGCAAAGAGAGGGTCTCCCTGGCTGCATGGAGGTCTGCGTGTGGTGGGGAAGGACAGCGTTTACCCTGATGCCACAGCTCTCTAGCTGGGAAGCCCTGAGCAAATCCCTTCACTTACCTGAGGCTCAGCCTCATCTTTCATGCAGTGGGGACAGTAACCCCTTTCATGCAGTGGGGACAGTGCTCCTGGAGGTTTGGTGAGTGCTCCTCGGTGCTAGACCACTGTCCCAGGGAAGGATTCATTAATGGCAGCCCCCTCCTTCCTCCCTGACTGCCAAGGCTCTTCTTTCCCAGCTTCCCCCACCCCGGGGGCCCCATTCCACAGCGCCCAACCCCTTCCTTGCTTTTGCAGAAGCCCTCCCACCCCTCCAGGTCTCCTTCCATGCTCAGCTCTGTGTCATTTCTCTGGGTGGGCCTTTGCAGACATCTGTGTTTGTCAGCTTTTTTTCTACGGTGACTAACAGCCCCAATATCTCAGTAGCTTACATTACAGACACAGTGCAAAATATATATATATATATATATATATATATATATATATATATATATATATATATATGTAATAGCCAACCCTCTACATGAGGCTTTGCAGACCCAGGGGTGGGAAGAGACATCCAGTGCTCTGATTGTCACAGAGGAAGCCCAGGGGGTCCTGACCCAGTACAGATGTCAAGTAATATTTCCTGGAGGGCGGATACATGAGCTTTACTAAGTGAGGGGATTTGGGGTGCTGGAGGCTGGATGTAAAAGAACTTTGTTAACTAGAAAAGACATGTGTACCGGTGGCGTCTCTCCAGGGGCTGGCCCTGGCCGGGGAGGTTGCCCTGCAGGTCTCCTCATCTAGCCCCAGAAACTGCCTCCTAGGCAGCATCATTGTGCCAGACCCCAGCCCTCTTGTCCTACTTCTTCCGGAGGCCCTTGCGACCTGAAACCTGCCCTCTGGCAGCTTGTGCCACTTCCGTCTGGGTGCCAGGCATTCCAGTAGTCCTTCTGTTCTATGATCCGTTCTCTAGGCCCTCCGGGCCCTGGCACTATCATAGGCCTGGTCTGGCTCTGGCATGGAGGCCGGGTTTTCAGACCTTGTGTATCAAGGTTTCAGAAATAGAAATGAACTCTGCCCCCTTCTTACCACCCAATCCTGGAGGAGTCATCCAGAGACCTTCAGGATAAGGCTGAAGGGAACCAGTGGGGTAGTGACTAGACAAAGCTCAGAAGGGCTAAGTGACTTGCCTTAAATCCTAAATGGTAGAGCTGGGGCCTGAACCCAGATCTGTCTGACTCTGAGGCAAAGGTTTTTCCCTCTCTTTCCTCCTACCTCCTGCCCAGACTGCTTGCAGCCCCCACTGCAGGTCACCTCCTGACTCTCCCTCTAGGTGCTCTCCTCCTTCCCGTCCCATGGCCTTATCCCAGCTCAAGCCTCCACCTCTTACACAGCTGCTGCCTGAGTGCCTGCCTTCCTGTCTCCATCCCTATGCCTTCCATCATTCTCTCACTATTCTGACATTAGGTTAGGTCCTTTGCCTTTGCTCAGGCTGTTCTTTTTGTCCCCAACACCTTCCTCTTCCTCTACAGCTTAGATTCCTGCTCATCTTTCATGATATAACCTAGATGACCCCTCCTCCTCCAGGAAGCCTTCCTGGACTATGTTTACCCTATGTGACCTTGGGCAAGTTTCGTCCCCATTCTGTGCCTTAGTCTCCACATTAATAAATATGCAGGTTGGATTTGGTCATCTGTAGAGCTCTCCCATCTTAGGTATTCAGGCATTCCTTTCACCATGGGACTTTGGGGACCCAATTGTCTAGCCTGAGTTGAACTAGAGGCTCTGCCAACCTGCACAGGGGTTTTTCACTGGATAGAAAAAGTGAAGGCAACAGAAGAATACTGTTTTAAGGAGCTTCAACATCTTCTGATGTTGTTGATGATGATGCAGCTGATCCAGGAAGAAATGTAGTCTTGGCAGACATGGGGTCTTCCCTTTTGGGGTAGAGGGGTCGTAGGACTTGGTTCTAGGACCCCTGGATTTAACCCTGCCTGCTCGCAGACTCCCATAAGACCTTGAGCAGTCCGCTGTCCTTCACTGAGCCCTTTTCCATCTGTGAAGTGGGCTTACTGATTCTGCAGGTGCAGGACCCCACGTGCCTCCAAGGACTGGAGTACCTGGGTCCTAGGGCAGCTGACCGACAGCCCCCTCTCTCGACAGTGTGCCCCGCACTCACTTTGCCTCACCTTCAGTGCCATTTTGTCTATTTCAGAATTGATCCTGGGAATTAAAAGTAAAAAGGACCTTTACTTTTGTGAGGGTACAATTAAAACTTAAACATGAAGACGGCATTTCTAGACAGACTCATTTGAGGCTCCTTCAAATATTTAACAATAGAAGAAAGGAAAACAGACACATTCAAATAAAATACCGCTATCATTTTGACAAATGTTTATTAAAATACAGGGGAAAGTTAGAAGTGCCTTGGGGAAGAGCATCCTTCACAGGTTACCGAAGTTCACGCACCTTCTGAGGGGACGGGGCTGCAGGCTGGTGTGGGGCTCTGAGCTGTGGAGGGCGTTTCGAGAGCGCTCACTGATGTCCCCTCCCCCAGGCAGTGCAACAAGACATCCCACGGCAGTGACAGCTGCGACCTCATGTGCTGCGGACGCGGCTACAACCCCTACACGGACCGTGTGGTCGAGCGGTGCCACTGCAAGTACCACTGGTGCTGCTATGTCACCTGCCGCAGGTGCGAGCGGACGGTTGAGCGCTACGTGTGCAAGTGAGGCCCGCGCTGCCCCTGCGGGGCTCAGCCCCCCTGGGGCCCCCGAGGCCAGCCGGCGTGTCCTGGTCAAGGTGGAGCACAGTGGATTTTTGCTTGTGAGTTCCAGATGCCAGGCATTGAGGCGGCTTGGCCTTTGCCTCCACTCAGAAGCCACCAGAACAGAAGGCCTGGCCACCCTGCACGGAGGGCCTGGACATCAAAGGAAACGGACAGGATTAAAAATAACCTGGCAGCCCGAGGCCCTTGAGTGCCCACTTGCTGCCTTGCAGGCTGGTCTAAGAAGCCAAGGGCTTGGCAGGACTGCTATGAGCCTGACCTTTCAGGGCCAGGGACACCAACCTCCCAGGAAGGGAGTCTGCCTGCCCTCATCAGAATGTTCTGTAGGCCCAGCCTGTGCGACCCCTTGGCCCCCCGGGGTCTGAGCCCTCTGGGCCTTGACATGGAACCACTAGCTTGGGTTGTAAATGTTTTTTTTTTGTTTCATTTTTTCCTTCCTCTGGGATGTGGGAGCTACAGAAATATTTATAAAACATAGCTTTTTCTTTGGGGTGGCTCGCCTCAATTCCTCTTTATATATTTTATATATATAAATATATATATATATATGATGATCTATATTTTAAACAAGCTTTTTAAACAGCTGTATGAAATAAATGCTGAGAGAAGCCCAGCCCGCTCCTGCCGTTTCTGGCCTTCTCAAGTGAACTCCTAAGATCCTGGGGCTGGCCGGGTAAACGCTCTGGTTTCCAGGCGAGGCGGCTTCCGATTGATGTCCCTTAACTCCCCTACTCCCCCCACCACGCTCTGGCCCCATCTCCCTGTAAGATCTCTTGGTCAAGGGCGAGGACAGACGTCTTGAAACATAAACCCAGCTGGCAGATTCTTTGTTCCTCAGGGACAGCACACAGGCTTGCAGAGCCTGGCCTTGTCATCAGACCGGCTGAGCTGGCTTGGAGAGAAAACCCACCCTGGTGCTGAGGACACAGCCTCAGGAGGCTGTGCAGACCCAGACTCCAGTCAGCCCTGGCGAGTTCTCTGTGGGACCCCTTAGGCCTCAGTTTCCCCATTTGTAAAGAGGATGGTGGTGGAGAAGAAGGTCAGAAGTTGGGGAAAGCCCCTGCCTGCTGCCTGGACCAGGCTGGCTACAGGGTGTGGGTGAGAAGTGGCTGGTTTCCGGTGCTGCTTGGAAGCTGTGGTCATCAGGATTTGTTCCTTGCATGCATGTGGGGTGCGAGGGCACGGAGGGTCAGAGGGATGGCAAGGGTTTTGAGCAGAGCGCTCAGAAGGATGCTGAGGTGGTGGTGGAGAGAGGATTAGGGTTCAGGCTCAGACACGAGGAGATTGTGAGATCAGTTTGGTCCCAAGTGGAAACACTGACAAGATGGGCAGACAGTGGAGTTCTGGGGGGAGGCCAGGGCTGAGATAACCTATTTGGGCATCATCACTAGGGGTGGGGCAGAAAAGCAAAGAGGACCAAGGCTTGGGGTCAAGGAGATGACAAGGAAAAGAGGCAAAGGGACTGAGGAAACAGCCAGGGAGACGGGAGAAGCTTGGGCTCTTGGCTGTTGCTCAGTGCAGACAGGTCCCGGGGCAGGGTCTCCACATGCACAGAGGATCCCTGCAGCTCCAGCATCCTGTCCTGGCACATGGGCAGCAGGGATGAGCAAGAAAAGCATCTTCCTTGAGCTTGGTCCACAGTAGGTGTCCCCAAAGCATCTAATAACTCAGGAACAGATATTAATCTCCTTTATCTCGTTCTTCCTGTGGGGTGACCACACAAGACAAAGGATGTAAGAAGATGTTGTAAACTGAATTCCTGTGTGTGGGAGACACAAATTCTGAGGGGAGGGCTCTTCCCTGCTGACAGCCTGCTGAGACACTGCCTGCAGGGGCTGCGGCAGAGGGGCCCTCAGAACCTCGGGAGGACTCTGTGAAGTGAAGCAGGCCCCCAAGGGCGGGCCACATAGCCTGGACACACCCCCAGGGCTAGACCTTCAGAGGCTGGAAGCTGGGAGGGCTGTGTGGCCATCCCCCAAGTCCCTCCCGAGAGCTTTCAGTGGGGTGGCGGCACCGAAGAATTACAGGCTAGAAAGAACTTTGAGGTCAGTCTTCAGGCTGCCTCTCAATCTGTTGTGCAGATGAGGACATTCCAAGATGTCAAGGGCCTTTCCTGTGGTCATAGAGCTGATAAGATGCTGCAGGCTGAGGGGTGGGGAGGTGGGGGTGGGGGTTGTGGTACAGCCCAGCATGGGATTCCTGCCAGCATGTCCGCTGAAGACTCAGCCTCCACTGCACACACCCCTGCCTGGAGCATGCTTACTCACTGGCCCAGCCCTCCCCTGCTCCAAAACCTTCATTGGCTCACTGTGGTGCACAAAAGCAACCCCCAGTTCCCTTACCTGGCATGCGAGGCCACCCCACCTTCAGGGTGACCCTTCTAGTCTTATTTCCTGCCACTCCAAGGCAGGCCCTCCGCTCCAGCCACAGGCAGGCCACTCGTCCGCACCTAGACTATAACCTGACTGCCGGCATCTGCCAGTTCTCCTGCAGGTCTGCAATGGCATCCTCCCTGTCAGAGCCCCGCTCAGCGTTCACCGCCACTGCCACAGAGCCTTCTCGGTGCCCTTGGGCTCCCTGCAGCCCTCTGAACCTTTAAAGCAGCCTCATGCTCACAGCGGCCAGCCAGCCAGTCAATGCCCACTCTTTCTTCAAGGCCCAGGTGAATGTCCCCCTTCTGGGAGGGCTTTCCTGACCACACTCAGCCTGGGCCACTGGCCACCTCTGCGTCCCCAGTTCTCTGCTCCTGTCACATTGCACTGAGAAAAATTGCTGTACAGGTCCATGTTTTGTCTTTGTCTGCCTCGCCCACATGTCTGGGCCTCCTCAGGGGCTGAGACCAGCCCAATGCACCTGTGAGGCCCTGGGATCTGGAGGCGGCATAATAATTCAACAGAAAAGTTGAATTTGGGGTGTCCTTTGTACCTTAACCAAGACAAGTAAATGAGGAAGCCAGACCAAGGACCCAGAATGACTCTCAAGGGGTGGGTGTAATCATATAATGCTCCATTATTGCCAGCCCAAGCTGTGCAAGTCCTCATAAGCTGCACAGCAGCCCCAGGTGGCTGTTGTCATCACCATGTGACAGGTGAGGAAAGTGAGGCTTTGGGAGAGGAGGGAACTTACCCAGACCTTCTGATGAACTCCGCGCAGCTGAGGGCGGCTCAGGGCTGGCTGCCCCTGCTTCTTTTTCCTGAGTCCTCACTCCGCGAAGCAGGGCATGAGTAGGTGGAAGGCAGAGAAGACTATTTCTGGCTCAGGACAGGAGGCCTAGTTGGGCCCTGACTCAGTGGGCCCAATGTACTGCAGCTGGCCAGCGCCTGGGCCTGTTGTGAAGCCCCGCACCCTTTGGGCTGCTCAGGGGTTGGGCCACCGCTGGAGCCTGGAGGGCTGGTTCCTGCACTGCTCCTCCCCAGCCAAGTCCAGGTTCTAAGAATGTAGCCAGGCTGAACCCCCTCACTTGGGGGCTCAGTCCTCTTCTTGTATGAATTTCAGAAACTCAGGGTTCAAGTGTTATAGGATCTCATTGTGTTTAGAGATTTAGCACCATAAAACCTTGATAACTTGGACTTTCAGGATAAAAATTCTCAAACCATTGTATCCAAAGCCCTGTGAAGGCCTCTTGGGCCAATAACCAATCCGAAGACGTGAAAAGTCTCAGGAGTTGAACTGTGGCTGTCAGAAAGCTTGTCGCAGGCAGGATTCCCAGCCTAGGCCGTGGGCAGCCCTCCTTCCTCTGGAGGTAGCACTCCCAGACTGGCTCTGTGAAGCCCAGCAAGTCCAGGAGAGAAGGAAACTCCTCAGGGGTGATAGTACCGGTCACTCTAAAGAGGTTTCTGAAACCAAGTGTGGGAGGCTGGCTGGAGGCCTGGGAGAGAGGGCCTGGGGAGGGAGACAAGAAGGCGGCAGAGAGGAAACAGGAACTCTGGAGAAGAGGGAGAGATTACTTTGGTGGGAAAGGAGAGAATGGACAGATAAGCCCCCCTGGGGAGGCAGGGTTAGGCCAGAGGAACAACCCAGGGAGGTGGGGCCCAGGCCAGCCCTGAACTGCCTGAGGTCTGTTATTGCTCAGGTTATGGGGTCCAGCTGCCAGGACACTGACCACGCCTCCTGCAGGACATGGGCCCTCCCCTGGGACCCCAGGCCCAAGAGGGGATGGGGGTGCTTAGGGATGGGAGGCAAGAATCCCCACATCTTTGCTGCTCTCTTGCTGTGTGACTCCAGGAAGCCACTGTGCCTCTCTGGGCCTTTCACAGCCATTCTGAGGGGTAAGACCCAGTATCTTTTTTTCATTTTTTTAAAGATTTATTTATTTTTTTTAATACAAGAGCTGGGGTACAGACCAGAGGTGCGGGAGGGTGAGAAGATTCACCAGAGACAGAGCAGGGAGCAGAACAGGCAGACGGACCAGAGACACTGCAGAGGGGAGCAGCAGGCGAGGCAGGAGAGGTCTGCCGCACCATGTGGGACTCTCCCTGGCTGGCCGGGAATTGAACCCATGCTGCAGAGGCTGCGGACAGCTTCACAGTGCTGTGCTCAACCCGCTGTGCCACCGGGGAGGCCCCACCAGTAACTTTGTTTTATTGATGAGGAAGCTGAGTCCCAGAGAGAGAAGTTGACTGACCCAAGGTTACAGAGCAATAAGTGGTTCAGGATTCAGGATTCAGACCCTAGGCTGCTTGGCTTAAAGTCCTGAACCTGTTCTCACCTCCATGATGGGCATACCAAGGAGGGAGGTGGCCTCGGGCAGAATGGGTAGTGACCGCGCCGCTGGAGTGGCTGGGTAAGGCATCTCCGGGAGGGAGGAGTGATTAAAGACTGAGCAGTTCTTTGACATCTGACAGCAACTGAAGGCTGCAGCCCAAGCCCAGCATTGGGGGGCCATCCCCATGGCCACAGTCTTCAGCTCAGTCAACATTTTCCTATTCTGTCCCCCTCAGCTGAGCATTCACCATCACCTGGTGCTTGGACTCTAAGGCCCCACCTCTGCTTGGGGTGAAAGTGGGCAGGGGGAGAGGGTGTGAATAAAACAAGCATCTTCCCCGTAAATGGGCCGTAGCTCCTTGTTAGTGTAGCAGAGAGGACAGAGGCAGAAGACCAGCAGTGTTGAGGGTTAGGAGTGGAAAATCTGGAAGACCGTAAGGAGGAGGTGTCATTTGTGCTGGATCTGGAAAGCTGCACAGAATTTCAAGAGGAGGAGGTGAAGCAGAGAGGTCTGCATGAGCAAAAACGGTGGTTATGATCAGAGATCATAAGAGGGGTGTGGCTGGCGCTCAGGGGGCCAGGGACGCACACGTCCAAGTCGGGCTGCCACAGGTCCTGCGCTGGTACACAGAGCCAGAGTGTCTAAGACTACCCCCGCTAGGGCGCCAGCAGCCTCCTGGCCCGTCCATGGCCCACCCGCCAGGCCACCCGCCCACCCGCAGAGATTCTGGCTTCAGGCAGAGCGATTTAACAGCCACAATGTTTAATGGGTCCCTTCGCTCCCGTAGACC